CCGGCAATGAACTAACAATTCAAAATGTTTTTCTTACGTATTTTTTATAAACCAATATTTATATATAAATGTAAGAAGATCTGTTTGGAAAATAAGAAATTCCCTTGTTTATATATAAATGTAGGAAGATCGGTTTGGAAAGTAAAAATTGTTTTGACATATTGTCGTTGGTAAAGAATTGTTGATATAAAAACATAGAGACAAAAAGTTGATTTTTGAATAGGAAAGAGAGTGGATCCGTGGGTCCCAAATAAATTGTTTCTTTGAAAAAAAGTCATTTTCTTTGAAAGATCTATTTCGTGTGTATGCCAATGCATGCTGGAATCATTTTATAATATATTAATAAAAGTAGGTTGTTTGGAGGGTTTTATGTTTTTTGGTGTAAATATCTTTTTAAAAAAATGTTTTCTCTTATAACTAGAAAAATTAAATTACAAATAAAACCTGAAAGAAAAAATTATTTTCTCTGAAACAATAAAAAAAACTAAGATATTTTGATATGTTTTACTAAAGAGATACTGTTTTGCTTTTGTAACATAAAAAAATTAACACCTGACTTCACTTCTCTTAAATACTTATTCTTGCATCTAACTCAATTGATTAAATATGCCGTCTGAGTTATGATAAATTTGTTTGCATGATTTTTACTGTTATAAATTTCAAAATTTTCAATAACTTTACTTTCTTCCCTTTTTAAAACAGTTATATACTTATAATACTTATTTGATTGACTCCAAAAATTACTATGTTGTACATATTAAGGATACTACGAATAATATTGTGAATCACATTAAAATTATTATTTTGTTATATATATATATATATATTACCAATAATATTCTTAATTTCTATAACTTACTTGTATCATACTAGGAGAAACACAGCTCTATCGTCTATGTATATTGATATTTTTATTTTGATTAGGCTATTGAATTAATTTAAAATTTAATATGTATATAAATTTCAATTTTATTCATTTAATAAGAAAAATCAAGATGGATGAATACTGTTATTTTCCTAATTACTTTGTAATGTACGTTGAACATTTCGTGTAACAACAAATAAAGATAAATAACTAATTGAGTTTCTCATATGTGAATTTTTTTTCAAAATATTTTTAAGCATGAGTACCTAAACTTTTGGAATTTTTCAAAATTTATGAGTTTTCTCATTTATATTTTATTAATTTTTTTTATTTTTATATAATGTGATATAATATGCAAACTATCTCCTTTCAAAAATATATAATCATGAGGTAATTCTTATTTCTCAAATGAAATGCATGCAGTTGATGAACAAATAATTAAATTCCCATAAATCTCAGATTCTTGACAAATTTTACAACATTAAAGGCATTTAAGACCAGCATTAAAATGAGCAGTGAAAGTTTCCATTTCTTGTTTGTTCAACACCAAGCTAATCTCAACTCCTCCATTCTCATTCCTACTTTCTGAAAGACAAAATGCTCCAGTTTTGCCTATGGAAGTCATATCCACCTTCTTAGGCCTTCCCCATCCAAAATCAACACTGTAAACCTCAAACCGTGGTGACCCTGCAGTTGTAAGTATTCTGTTATCCCTTGAAATCTGCATCATTGTAGACAAAGTTACTGCCCCACTCAACACTCCATCCTCCAACCTTTTCAAGGTTTCATTTATCCCTCCAAGGGCATTGATGAAACCATCATCCCCCAACAACTTGTTTGTTCCATCCATAACCTTATGACCAATGATGCAATTTCCAAAATATGTGGACGGAAGAGGTGGCTCCAAGCGAGACCTACAATCCACACTGAACAAAAATGCCACTCCATTGGCCTTTGGTTGTTCTGCCTTGACCAAACAATGCAACACATAAGCACACGTAACGGAAAATGTTGACACATTAGCATCCTCTTTAAGCTTAGATTTTGCATGTTGCTTAAGCTGTTGGATGTTTGAAGAGGTTAATTCAAACGACCCTCTGATTGATTCTGTTGACGTTGCATTTGCACCTCCAAGATCCCACACCTTCGTGCTTCTATTATTTGGTCCACCGAAGTTCAACCAACTCTTCACATACATTGGGATGGTATAAAAAAAAAAGGCCAAAAACAAATATAACAACTTGACAAAGAGTAATAATGCAGCGGAAATTCAATCCCCCTTCTTGCGAGAATCAGCGAGGAGCACCAAACAAATAGAATCCAAAGCACAAAGAGACACCAACAATTTTAACGTGGAAAACCCCTCAATGCAAGGGTAAAAACCACGAGTCGTCCAGACCAAAGAAAAATCCACTATGATCAATAATGGGGTACACAAGAGTCTCCAATAATAATACCAAAAGGTATTTTCAATAAGCAGAATTAACTAAGCACAAATGCTTACAAAAGAGAAACAAAGAAGATGAAAAATCTCCAAAACAGGGCTGCTGGTGCGGGACCAATTTCTCCCAATCTAGACCTTCGATTGACGATCCGAACGGTCAGAATGAAGAACCATATGTCTGGAACCTACTATCCAAAAATCAGCTCGATCCAACGGTGAACGACTTCACAGCGACGAAAACACCAGTGCAGATTTAGGGTTATGCGGAGATGACTTTCTCTCTTTCTTTTTCTCTCACTAGACTTTTTGTCTTTTTCAAATGACTCTCTTGTCCTCTACTAATCTGACCCATCTCATTTTACCCAAATGAGACATAATGGACCACACTATTTGGGCCTATTCTCCACATAGGAAGGGAGCCCAATAACCCAACAAATCTCCCCTCACGACTATGTGGAGATATCCGTCAAACCAGCGATCTCACAACAAACTTCAAACTTTCCTCTTGGCAATGCCTTGGTCATCATATCAGCACCATTATCATCTGTATGAACTTTAGCTAGTTCCACCAACTTAGCATCCAAAACATCACGTATCCAATGATACCTCACATCAATATGTTTGGATTTAGAATGAAAAGTTGGATTCTTACCAAGATGAATAGTACTTTGGCTGTCACAATACAACAAGTATTTATCTTGCACAAAACCAAGCTCCTGCAAGAATTTCTTCACCCATAACAACTCTTTGCATGCTTCAGTAAGTGCAATGAATTCTGCCTCAGTAGTAGACAACGCCACACACTTTTGCAACTTTGATTGCCAAGCCAAAGCTCCCCTGCAAGCTGAATCAAATAGCACTGAAGTGGACTTTCCGGAATCAATGTCTCCGACCATATCCGAATCTGAGTAACCCACCAAAGTAGGTTTATCACCTCCAAAACAAAGTCTCAAACCTCTAGTACCACGAAGATACCTCAAAATCCATTTCACGGCATTCCAATGCTCTCTACCTGGATTTGACGAAATCTGCTAACTGTACCAACAGCGTGTGCAATATCGGGCCTTGTACATACCATTGCATACATCAAACTACCCACCGCGAAGCATAAGGAACTTTTCTCATAGCTATCTTCTCAACTTCATTTGAAGGACTTTGTTTAACACTCAACTTAAAATGAGTAGCAAGAGGAGTGCTTACAACCTTAGCATTCTCCATTTGGAATCTTTGCAACACCTTATGAATGTAGTGCTCCTGTGATAGCCAAAGTTTCTTCTCTTTTCTATCACGAGTGATACTTATACCAAGAATCTTCTTAGCAGCTCCCATGTCTTTCATGGCAAATGACTTGCCCAGTTGCTTCTTCAACCTGTCAATTTTGGAAACATCTTTTCCAACAATAAGCATGTCATCAACATATAACAACAGGATAATGAAATCATTCTCAGAAAATTTCCTGACAAAAACACAATGGTCAGAAGTAGTCTTCTTGTAGCCTTGCTCACACATAACAGACTCAAACTTCTTATACCACTGCCTTGGAGCTTGCTTCAAACCATATAGGCTTTTTCGTAGCCTACACACATAGTCTTCCTTGCCTTCAACAAGAAAACCATCCGGTTGCTTCATGTAAATCTCTTCCTCCAAATCACCATGAAGGAAGGCTGTCTTCACATCCATCTGCTCAACTTCCAAATCAAGAGTAGCAGCTAAACTTAACACAGTTCGGATAGATGTCATCCTCACCACAGGTGAGAAAATCTCATTGAAGTCAACACCCTTTCTTTGTCTAAAGCCTTTCACCACTAATCTGGCTTTATATCTGGTAGATGTAGAATTGCTCTCTTGCTTCACCCTGAAGATCCACCTGTTCTCTAAGGCTCTCTTACCCTTAGGCAACTTCACCAAGTCATAAGTGTGATTATCATGCAGCGATTTCATCTCATCCTGCATTGCATCCAACCACTTTTGCTTTTCTTCACTTTCAACGGCCTCCTCATAACATTCAGGTTCTCCTTCATCAGTCAACATCACATACTCATTGGTAGAGTACTTCTTAGAAGGTTGTCTTGGCCTGTCAGATCTTCTAGGTTGAGTTTCAGGTAGCTCAGGTATATCACCAAGACTCTCATCATGTGATACATCATGTTCCTCTTCATCAACATTATCAATAGGAACATCCAAGCTATCTTCAACCTGTTGATTATCAGTATCACCATGTTGTTCATCATCATGAGCATCAATATCCAAATCATTAATAGACAACCGAATTGGATCAACATCATCCACATTACCATTTCCTTTAGGTGTAGACTTCTTCTCCTTATCAATATCTTCAATGGTTTGATCTTCCATGAATTGCACATCACGACTTCTAACAACTTTCTTTTCAACGGGGTCATACAACTTGTAGCCAAATTCATCCTGACCAAAACCAATAAAGATGCATTGCCTTGTCTTCATATCCAACTTGGATCTTTCATCCTTCGGAACATGAACAAATGCTTTACAACCGAAGACACGTAAATGATCATAAGTAACATTCTTGCCAAACCAAATCTTGTCTGGCACCTCAGAGTTCAAAGCAACTGCAGGACTTAGATTAATAACATGCACTGCTGTAAACAATGCCTCACCCCAGAAATGCTTAGGCAATTTTGCTTCAGAAAGCATACACCTAACTCTTTCAATCAATGTCCTGTTCATCCTCTCCGCTAAACCATTCAGCTGAGGAGTTTTAGGAGGAGTCTTCTCATGTGCAATACCATATTGTCTACAATAAGCATCAAATGGTCCACAATACTCACCACCATTGTCAGTACGAATGCGTTTCAGCTTCTTGCCTGACTGCCTCTCAACCAAAACATGGAATTCTTTAAACTTGTCCAACACTTGGTCCTTTCTCTGTAGTACATAAACCCAAAGCTTCCTGGAACAATCATCAATAAAGGTAACAAAGTAAAGTGCACCACTAAAAGACTTTACCTTCAATGGGCCACAAACATCAGAATGCACCAATTCAAGCAACTCTGACTTCCTGGAGGGAGGATGCTTCTTGAAGGATACTCTGGTTTGTTTACCAGCCATGCAATGAGAACATTTCTCCAAATCTACATTCTTCAATCTTGAGAGAACATCCTTTTTAAATAAGCAGTTAAGCCCCTTTTCACTGATGTGCCCAAGCCTTCTGTGCCACAAAGATGACTCCATATACACGGAATTCACACTATCTTTAGCAACCAAAGCTTTTGTCCAGTAAAGCTTAGAGTTTTTCTCCCCTTTAGCCACAATCAAGTTACCTTTGGTGAGCTTCCACTTTCCAGAACCAAAATGGTTATAATATCCACCATCATCAAGTACCTGCACAGAGATCAAGTTAAAGCGAACATCTGGAGCATGTTTAACTCCTCTAAGCAACAACTGCATCCCCATGTTGGTTTGCAAGTGAACATCACCAACACCAACAACTTTAGACACCCCATCATTACCCATCTTCAATACTCCAAAATCACCAGGTGTATAAGATGTGAAGAACTCCTTCCTGGATGTAACATGCAGTGTAGCACCACTATCAATTATCCACATGCTCTCATCAGATACAAGACTAATAGTGTCATAATCACGAAGACAAACAAGGTCACCACATGTAGTAGTAGTAACACGATCACCATCATCATTATCTTTTTCTCTTTGCTTACCCTTTTTGTCTTTGCTCTCTTTCTTCCACAAAAAACAGTTTTTCTTTATATGTCCTGTTTTGTGACAATAGTGACACTCCACATTCTTGTACCGAGACTTGGACTTGCTCCTGCTTTTATCTCTACCACTGTTTTGTTCTTTCTTTTGGTTTCTCCCCCTATTCTCTGTAATAAGCACTTCTGAATGAGATGAAGTACCCTGTGTCTTCCTTCTCATCTCCTCATTAAGAGCACCACTCTTTGCCATTTGCAAAGAAATATCACCATTAGGGGTAGCACTTATCATGGAAACCCGAAATGTCTCCCACGAATCCGGTAAAGAGTTTAATAGGAATAAGCCCAATAGATCATCATCAAATTTTATACCCACTCCAGCTAATTGATCATAGCGTCCTTGAAATTCACTCAAGTGATTTGAAACATGAGTTCCTTCCTTGTACTTCAACTCCACAAAATTTTTCAGCAAGTACAATTTATTAGTCCCTGACTTAGAAGCATACAAGGACTCAAGCTTATCCCATAGGCTTCTCGCATGTGTCTCATTAGCAACAAAATTATAAACATTATCATCAACAAACTGCCTGATAAATCCACATACCTGTTGATGTTCAAAATCCCATTCTTCATCTGACTTGGATTCTGGCTTATTGGAAGCAAAAACAGGAAGATGCAAATTTTTCACAAATAACAAATCCTTCATCTTGCCTTTCCATAAGTGATAATTTTCTCCATTCAACGGAATCAATTTTGTATGTGCCTCCATCATTCACGCAAATTAAACAGTCCCTTAACCTAAGAGCTCTGATGCCACTCTGATGGTATAAAAAAAAAGGCCAAAAAACAAATATAACAACTTGACAAAGAGTAATAATGCAGCGGAAATTCAATCCCCCTTCTTGCGAGAATCAGCGAGGAGCACCAAACAAATAGAATCCAAAGCACAAAGAGACACCAACAATTTTAACGTGGAAAACCCCTCAATGCAAGGGTAAAAACCACGAGTCGTCCAGACCAAAGAAAAATCCACTATGATCAATAATGGGGTACACAAGAGTCTCCAATAATAATACCAAAAGGTATTTTCAATAAGCAGAATTAACTAAGCACAAATGCTTACAAAAGAGAAACAAAGAAGATGAAAAATCTCCAAAACAGGGCTGCTGGTGCGGGACCAATTTCTCCCAATCTAGACCTTCGATTGACGATCCGAACGGTCAGAATGAAGAACCATATGTCTGGAACCTACTATCCAAAAATCAGCTCGATCCAACGGTGAACGACTTCACAGCGACGAAAACACCAGTGCAGATTTAGGGTTATGCGGAGATGACTTTCTCTCTTTCTTTTTCTCTCACTAGACTTTTTGTCTTTTTTCAAATGACTCTCTTGTCCTCTACTAATCTGACCCATCTCATTTTACCCAAATGAGACATAATGGACCACACTATTTGGGCCTATTCTCCACATAGGAAGGGAGCCCAATAACCCAACAATCCTGTGGTGTCTTTTATCATTGACCTGTCATAGAAGGGGGTGAGGTGTTTTGGCAATGACAAAAATGATGATTCTGCGAGGTTATTGGAGCAAGCATAAGCCCATGCTTTTAGAAACAAAGTTGAGCCTCTTCCATCCATAGCTGCATGGTGTGTGGTTATTCCAAGACAAAAGCCAGAGCCAGGAAAAAGGGTAACTTGGAGGGCCATGACAGATGCTTGTTCATGGGAGGTGGGCAAGTGGGGTATCAAAGGATGGCGTTGAGAAGCCTCACAGGTATTGGAACAAAACATGTTGAAATCAGAATTGGACTCAGCTATAGTGAGGGAAACAGCATTGCCAGGAACATAGTTGATGATGGGGTGGGGAGAGTCAAGGGGCCAAGTGATGGTGCCAGCAAGAGGGAGGAATTGTTGGAGAGTTAGGGCAAGAGAGAGCTTGAGATTGGGAAGAATGGTGTCAAAGAATGAAATGGTTGGGTTGGGAAGTTCATAGAAGAAAAGACGTTCAACTGGGGGACTCCTTAACCATAGCAGGTCAAAGAATGTGAGAGGCAAAGATGTTGGAGTGGAGGAAATGGTTGTTGCTCCCTGTGGTGGTGCCACATGTTAGAATTAATTTAATTAATTCATTCCATTATGTGACTCATGTGAAATATAATAATGGGCCCAAATGTGATTTAATAAAATATGAGGACCTATTGGTTATTATGTGAAGTTAGAATAAAATAAAGATAAAATAAAATATTAACTTACGGTAACCAACTTGATGGACGTTGGTTAATTGAATGGAATAAGGGTTCTGTCTCTGGTCATAAAGTTTTTCACGGTAAACCATCAAGAAAGCGAAGCGTGAGAAGAGAAAGAAAGACAAAGAGATAGATTGGGAAAAGGAGATAGGAGAACGAAAAGATCAAAGAAAAGATTCTCATGGATCAAGGTTAGTCTTCTTATTATGATTCATGTATTGGTGTATGTAAAATTGTGAAAATCAATAATCTAAAGATCCTGTAGAGTAGTTTTCTATAATGAATTAAGAACGTAGGAAAACTACATAATGTTTTACATGTGGTATCAGAGCCTGATTATTAGATTTATGATTTTCCTTTTATGAAAATATTTCTCAAATGATGTTTTTCCCAAATTAAGATAAACCCTAATTATGAATTTAGGAATTTCTCTATCAGATTAGTATGAACCCTAATTTATTCCCAATTTTATTTTTCTCAAAATTAAATAAAGGAATAAACCCTAATTATGTTTTCAAGTTCAAATTGAAACCAATTTTATAGTCCCTATGCATGAATGACCCTGTAATCCTTTCTAATTGAAAAGGCAAATGACGTGATAGGGTTAGGATGAATCATGTATGAAATTAGTTTCATTAGATGTTATAATTATGTTATAATTATGATGAGATGTTATGATGGGATATTATAATTATGATGGAAGAATGGTAAACTCGTAAAGTTGATAAACTTTGCACGTAGAGAGCACATGTTAAACACATATGTTTCATATATTATATTATTTATAATATTATTTTGAATGTATATTATTTTGTCCCCATATTATTTGTACATTATTTTGTACGTACATATTTTTTTTATGTGGGGGAAGGATAATTAAAGAGTTATTTTTATGTTAAAGTGAGTTGTATAATATACTCATACTGTAGGGTACGGTAAAGCTTTGTTATAGGTACTATATTGTTATGGGTACTGTAAAGCTTTGTTATGGGTACTGTAAAGCTTTGTTATGGGTACTATAAAACTTTGTTATGGGTACTGTAAAACTTTGTTATGGGTACTGTAAATTTGTTAAGGTACTCGTAAAGCTTTGTTAAGGTTGTTAATGTACTATGAAACTTTGTTAAGGTTGTTAATATAATGTTTTGTTAATGTACTCGTGAAGCTTTGTTAAGGTTGTTAATATACTGTTTTGTTAATGTACTCGTGAAGCTTTGTTAATGTACCTATAATGTAAACATTGATAAATGAATGAATCTTGTTTTGCAAACTGAATTGTATTGTTTCACTTGTGTTTAAATTACTCATAAAAGTTTTGAATGGATGACAATTTCACTTTTACGTGAAATGCAAATAAAGGTCTTGGATTGAAAATCAATCTTAGGATGAAAATTGAAATTATGAGTTTTAATTTTATTTATGGCACATAATATTTTATTATGTGAATAATGTACATATTTATTAAAATTAATAAAAAAAATGCTATGAATGGTTAATAGCAATTAAAGATGTTATTTATTTGAAATTAAGCATGATAAATTTTGTTAGTCACCAAAGTGGCCAAAATTTTAAGGTTATTTTGATTTCAAATTATTAGTGATTTTATTTCAATTACCTATAGTATGAATGCTAAAATTATGAATAATGATTTATGGGTTAATTGAAGTTCATTATTATAAGGCATTTCAGGATCACCCAAAGGTTGATTAATTGTTATTATCATTAATGAACATGAAAGTAGATAATTTTGTGTAGCGCCACTAGTTTTATTTATATACCCAAAGGTATTAAGTGATTCTAGTTGATGCATATTTTAATTATCATTAATGTTATAAAAATATTAGCGTAATTATGTTTGTGTATTAGTGGATCTCCCAAAGGAGAACATTAGTATGCATAGAATGGTTATTTATGTTTGAATCTGTATTTATGTTTAGTTTTTATGACTCAAAGCGTTAATGTTAGACATGTGTTAATTGAAGTATTTGTTTATTATGTATTTCTACATTCGCTTACTTTGTCTGTTCCAATCTTTAATAAATTAAATTCCTCGATCTGGAGTAAGAAAGTCCAATTTCACTTAGGTGAGTTGGATTTTGATTTGGCTTTCTAAGTTGAAAAACCTATCGCTATCACTAATGCTAGTAGCAACAAAGAGAAAACTCATTATAGAGTTTGGAAAAGTTCAAATAGACTTAGTCTTATGTTTATGCGAATGAGTATTGCAAGCAATATTAAGTATGCTTTTTCCAAAACTAAGGACGTGAAAGAATTTATGAAATTTGTGGAAGAGCGCTCTCAAACTGCTGACAAATCTCTCGCTGGGACATTGATGAGTACGTTGATCACCATGAAGTTTGATGGTTCTCGTAGTATGCATGAACATATAATCGAAATGACAAATATCGCAGCAAGACTCAAGTCTCTTGGAATGGCAGTGGAAGAAAATTTTCTTGTGCAGTTCATTTTGAACTCGTTACCGCCTGAGTATGGTCCGTTTCAGATGAATTATAACACCATGAAAGACAAATGGAATGTGCATGAATTGCACAATATGTTAGTTCAGGAGGAGACCGGACTCAAGAACCTAGGAAGCCACTCTATTCATTACGTGAAAAATCAAGGAGCTAAAAAGAAAATTGTTAAGAAACATGGAAAGGGTAAATGACCATTAAAGATTAACGAGTCCTCTACTAACATTCAAAAGAAAAATGACAAATGTCATTTCTACAGGAAGTCTGGACATTTTCAGAAGGATTGTTTAAAGCGTAAAGCTTGGTTCGAAAAGAAGGGTGAGCACAATGCTTATGTATGTTTTGAATCAAATTTAACTGAAGTTCCCCATAATACTTGGTGGATTAATTCTGGATGTACGACTCATGTTTCTAATGTAATGCAAGGATTCCTTTCAACCCGAACCATAAACCCAAATAAGAAGTTCGTCTTCATGGGGAATAAAGTCAAGGTTCTAGTGGAAGCTGTCGGGACTTATCGTTTAATCCTTGACACTAGATATCACTTAGACCTTATGAATACTTTTTATGTAGCTAGTATCATTAAAAATTTAGTTTATTTGTCTAAGCTTGATGTTGTTGGATACTCTTTTAAGTTTGGGAATGGTTGTTTCAGTTTGTTTAAGCGTACTTCTATGATTTGATATGGTTAGGAGTATGTTAAGTAATTCATGTTTACCCGTATCATTATGGATGTATGCTTTAAAGACTATCATGTATTTGTTGAACAAGGTTCCTAGTAAAGTTGTTCAAAAGATTTTTGAGTTATGGAAAAGTAGGAAACCTAGTTTGAGACACCTGCTTGTTTGGGGTAGTCGATGTAAGTAAGAATTTATAATCCGCAAGAAAAGAAACTGGATGCAAGAACAATCAGTGGATATTTCATTGGTTATCCGGAAAAATCAAAAGGGTATATGTTTTACTCGTCCTACCCATAGTACAAGAATTCTTGAAACTGGAAATGCTCTGGTTCATTGAAAATGGTGAAGCCAGTGGGAGTGAAGCTTCACGAAATGTGGAGATTAAGGAAGTTAGAGTACAAGTTCCAATAACTAGTACATCTTCAAGAGTTGTTGTTCCAAATGTTGTAGAATCACACGACAATCAAGAAGAACAACAAATTAATGATCCTGCGATTAACAATGATCCGATAATAGAACAACCACAGGAAATAGTATTAAGAAGATCTCACGAGAAAGAAAGTCTCGCTATTTCGAATGATTACATGGTTTATCTACAAGAGTCGAAAATGACCTAAGTATTGATAATGAACCAGTTTCATTTTCGGATGCCATTAATGGTGATAATTCCGACAAATGGTTAGATGCTATGAAAGATGAGCTTAAATCAATGACACATAATGGTGTATGGGATCTTGTGGAATTGCCGAAGGATGTAAGAGTGTTGGGTGTAAATGGGTCTTTAAGACTAAGCGTGACTCTCATGGCAATATCGAACGTTACAAGGCCCGACTTGTTGCCAAAGGTTTTACTCGTAAAGACGGCATTGATTATAAGGAAACATTTTCACCTGTTTCTAAGAAAGATTCCTTTAGAATTATCATGGCATTAAGTAGCTCATTATGATCTTGAGTTGCATCAAATGGATGTTAAAACTGCTTTTCGAATGGAAATTTAGAGGAGGATGTTTATATGAATCAACCAAGTGGGGTTTATTGAAGAAGGAAAGGAACATATGGTGTGTAAACTTAAGAAATCAATATATGGACTTAAACAAGCTTCTCGACAATGGTATCTTAAGTTCAATGATACTATTTTGTCCTTTAGATTTAAGGAAAACACCGTTGATCGATGCATATATCTCGAAGGTTAGTGGGAGTAAGTTTATATTTCGATTCTCGTATGTTGATGATATCTTGCTTGTGACTAATGATCTTGGTCTATTAATTGAGACTAAGAATTTTCTCTCTAACAACTTTGAAATAAAAGATATGAGTGAGACATACTATGTGATAGGAATAGAAATATTCCGTGATAGATCACAATGACTCGTTAGGTTTGTCTCGTGAAAGCTTATATTAATAAAGTTTTAGAGAGATTCAGTAATGGAGAAGTGTTCAAGCATCTCCCGTTCCAATACGTAAAGGAGACAAGTTTAGTCTCATGAAATGTCCAAAGAATGACTTGGAATGGAAACAGATGGAAAATATCCCTTATGCATCTGTTGTTGGGAGTTTGATGTATGCTCAAACATGTACGAGGCCGGATATTAGCTTTGCAATTGGTATGCTTGGTAGATACCGGAGTAATCCTGGACTAGATCATTTGAAGGCTGCAAAGAAAGTTTTAAGATACTTACAAGGAACAAAGAATCACATGCTTACTTATAGG